AGGTAACAAGTTACAAGTCTGTTTATATAATAAAGTACTTACTTTTTTGAGTAGGCATAGAAGCGTCATCCGGGTTCTGATGAAGACTGTAAGTTACATGACCCTCCTGGGGGTCCCGCCATTCTTCCTCAAACTTAATGAAGTTGTCATCTGCGTTCTCGCCCAGGGGATCAGTTTGCACAGTCGTCAGTTCGTGGTCTGGTGAAATCTCGTAAGTTATCTGGTTTTGCAGTAATGGCTGACACTGAGAGCCAGCTATGTCCGCCAGTCCAGTCGACGCACCTTGCAACATTGACAAGGGTATGGTAATTCCGGTCATTTTTCTTGTATACATCAGTAAGAGGAATAGAGTTTTGAAGCAGTTATTCCTGACCTCGACACCGATTACTTTCTCTTGAAATAGTGTTCTGTTATTCCACAGACTAGCATAACTTTAATGTGACTATAATATATTACTAGACATACATATCACAAATTTTAATACAACTTTTTACTGGAGGCATATTAGGAATTACGATATAGTATTAGCAGTATCAGTAGTAGTATGCTTTTCATATGGAAAATGTTTCTTAACCGATATGAGTTACATTATTTCGAAAGAGACAGAGAGATCGTCTTATAATTATATACGACTGTACAGGAGCGAGGTCAGGGGAGAAAGCGGGGAGTTACCTGTGGCCGGCTTAGATTATAGAACATATGATGTAAATGATTTAGAAAAGCGACAAGCTGAAGAATGAGACACTGTGCACAAGTGCCTCATTACAGAACATATAAATAATGGAGCACTGCAGTAAGTCTTCTGACCCATGCTATGCTAATTACACTATGCCGTTTGTCATTTTATTGAAAGAGACTAGATTAGCGTTCCTGTAGAGTGAAGCATCTCATTACAACGTCATAAACCGCATATTGTGTCTTATTAACATAGAATACTTGTCAGTATAATACTACTGATATAAATTCTGACATATGCAAGATAGGTCCAACTCAGCCCAGCCCACTTATGTACTTGTTCAACTTATTTTTAAAGCTACCCAAACTTTTAGCTTTAGAGCTTTACAAGTTTAGTTATCAAGAAAGCAGTGTTCGAAATCAGCTTTAATCTTTTATTATTTTTATTTCTTGGTATGAAGCCAGAAATTGAAAATAGCAGTACAGGATGCCACAAGCATAATAAAGAAGGAAAAGTGTTGCGGTCATTAATATTATGAGGAAACGTGTTGGAACCACTAGCATTGTAAGGAAACGTATTGAACCACTAGCATTGTAAGGAAACTGTGTTGAACCACTAGCATTATAAGGAAACTGTGTTGAGCCACTAGCATTATAAGGAAAGGAACGTGTTGGACCACTAGGATTATCAAGATAAATGTGAATCTAAAACTAATAATGTTTTTGTGATAAGCAATATGAATTAAAAAAAAAACAGCATTTTAGTTTGTTTTAATAAAAATATGAATTATAAGGATTTTGTTGGTGTATTTTTTGTTAGTTTATCTTCACTCTGAACCGTATAAATGTGATAAGATTTCTTTTTATTTTCGGTAGAAGGGCGGGGGCGGGCTTGTTCATAAACCCGCAGTCAGCTTCTTTAAAATTAAACCAAATTTATTCATCAAATTATTTTCACTTGGTATTTGCAGCTATAGTGCATGCAAATGAGCGTTCACATCTTTGTTTCATGGTATAATATTGTCAGTCAGGAGACAATTACAGAATACACGGTATGACGCAAACTTACCTACAAACTACTGTATACAAACTCTACTCTCAGCTTACCTTTTACCGATTTAGATTCAGTTACTTGTGACAGAATAGATCAGCAGGGAAAGCTTGCTAACCGTGCTTTGATATGGGGAAAAAAGAGAAAGCAAAAAAAAATGATTTTATTCTAGAGGAGAAAAGTAATAAAAATTGAAGTGTTGAAAACATGACGCGGGTTTTAAGGTCCCAGCAGTTCAGCGCTTAATAACCTTGGTGAGAAAGACAAATATGATACTTTAGATATATACTGTGCAACGGTATTTGGTCACATTTTGGGTAGCTGGATTCTGGCCATTTTTTTTTTTTTTGTAATAAAAAGGTCAGATAAGAGGGTTATCTCAGGATGGTGTCATGTGCCCATTCAGCTGACATGTCTCCAAGGCTTGACCCTTGGACGAAGCTTCACTGCAAACACCAGGATAAGCCACATAAATGTTATGTATAAATTTTACGACTAATCAGACTGTCACACAGGCAGCACAACTAATGAAATAAATACAATTAAATAATGGAAAAGGGGTATAATCACAAAGTTCGTTACTTTTAAGGTGCTTTTTACTAAGTCGTGATAAATTTATACATATAATGATAAATTAGCTATCGGTATTGTAAGCATTATTTTCTTTATCACACCAGCCGTCTTCCACCAAGGGAGGGTGACTCTAAAAAGAAACGAATTTTTCTTCTATTTACATTTAGTAATTTATACAGGAGAAGGGGTTAAGCCCCTTGCTTCCGGCATTTAATCTCCTCTTAAGACACGCATGACTTACGCAAAAAGTATTCTTCTCCACTTTCCCAGGAAGAAAACGTGAAAGAGATGCTTCAGAATTGTAAATGAGAAAATTTTTTGTCACTTTTATAAATGGGAAATATATATGTTACTTTTACAAATGAAAAATTTTATAGGACTAAGTTCTTAAGGATAAATCCCACAGGTTTAGAGCTTCCCCTTGATAATAATAATTAATGATAAACATAAACTTATATTAGTCATTATCCAGGGGTCACTGGCGCAAATGAACTCATGTACATTTTGCCACGGACCTGGTGGCAAAAGCTCTCACTTCACAAGGTGAGGGTCCGAGTTCGATTCCCGGCGAGGGTTAACACATTAGAAGTGCGTTTCATTACACCGGTTGTCTGTGTTCACCCATCAATATAAAATGGGTACTTGGGTGTTAGTCGACTGGTGTAGATAACGTCCCGGGACAAAATTGACCTAATTTTCCCGAAATGCTCTGCATAACAAGAGGCTTTCTATATAATAGTATGTCATTGATGTCAGCTAGGCCTGTATACTTTGTACATATACTTGTAGAAATAAGGATATTGTTATTATTAATAAAATGAATCTTTGTATAATTCGACCCCACACTGAGGGCTTCTTTAGCATACAGATTAATTTGTTTAATGGTAATAAATTTAAAAATCTACAGAGCTAACCTGGGAGAGGTGGTTGCAGGTTGATGTTGAGAGTGTAAGGAGCGGCGGCGTGTGGTGGTGGTTGGTTGGGAAGTGGCCTGCCCCACTCATGACGCCATATGTGACCACCTTCAGTTATCTCCACCTCCGCTGCCGACGACAACACCAGAACGCACGACGGTAGCGACGACAACCCCATGGTTACTGTCTCCTTGTGTGGCCATGGCGACGACCACCTCCATCCGCTGCTTCCCGTGTCGCATCCCTCCACACCGCCTCTACTTTTAACCTCACCGCCTGTCTTTTGTGGCCATGGGCCAGACGGAGGCTCACGTGGGTTCCAATACTGTAAACCTGCTGTGGGTGCATGTGGGTTTGAAGACTGTGAAGCGGGTGTGGGTACAGGTAGGTTCCATGATGGTGGGTCTAGTTTAAGTGGTTTCCTAGATTGTGAGTCGAGAGTGGGTAATTGTGGGTTCAAAGACGGGTCTAGATTAAGTGGGTTCCAAGACGATGGGTCAAGATTAGGTGGGTTCCAAGACGATGGGTCAAGATTAGGTGGGTTCCAAGACTGTGGGTCGGAGATAGGTTGAGATGTGTTCCATGACGGTGCGTCGTCGGTGGGTCGAGCTTGGCTCCAAGATTGTAGATCTATGGTGGACTGAGATGGTTTCCAAGATGGTGGATCGGGGATGAGCTGAGGTGGGTTCCATGGTGATAGATTGAGGGTAGATGGAAGTAGATTCCAAGACGGTGGGTCAGGTGCAGATAGAGGTGGATTCTGAGGCTGGTCGAAGGTGGTTGAAGATGAGCTCCGAGATTGATTGAGGATGGATAGAGGTGGGTTGTGGGACAGTGAGTGAAAAGAGTTCTCAGATGAGGCGAGGGTGAATGATGGTGGGTTTGGAGAGTCGAAAGTGGGTGGAGGTGGGCTTAGCAACAGTGGGCCAGAGGTGACAGGAGGCGGGGAAGACACTTGTGTGGGAGGGTGTGGCAAAGGGTAAGAGGGTGAGCCAGAGTGTGGAGAGCCAGAGGAGTGCATCATGGTGTTGGGAGGCGGCGGGGGGTGGCGAGTGTTGGAGGATAGTAACCGGTGGGAAGCGACGGGGGTTAAGCAACCAGTGGGAGACAAGACCCAAGTCTCTGGCAGCCGAGGTCCAAGGTCTCACCACTCATCAGTCTCAGCTAGGGCTAGCAACATCTCTCGAGCCAACTGCAAAATACGCTTCTGTTAAACATAGGCTGGTATCCGATAGGGTTAAGAATACTACACTGAACTTGATAAATGCACCATAAACTTCTTACCCATCTTGTAGTGCGTATTCAAAAGACTGGAGACAATTTCTTTTTATTACTGTATTAGCCTACCTTGATCTATTTGACATCTTACAAGGACAGAAGAGCTGTTTATCTAACACCCATCATTCGACGTGGACTTCTTATCATATTCTAACACAAGATAGGTTCCACACAAGTAATGATATTGCCGGTAAATGCTGGGAAATCTTGGTAAGGCATTGAGGTTATCAAGCATTTCACTCTGTGTTGAATACTTGGGCAATTTTGAAGATTTCCTTCAAGCACGGTTGTAGTCGCGTTTATCTGGGGATTGTAATTTTGGTGGGCTAACCAACTTTCTAACTGATGATTTAGTGTCTTTCTACAATACTGTAAATCATCATTGTTCAGTACGTAATGTACAGTACAATGAGTTCACTGCGAAAGCCTACGTTGTAACCTATAAAAGGTATACAGCATGAATTCATCTCAAATTCGTGGTTAATGGCTGTGTAATCCATACGGGTTTAGCGCTTGTTTTCAATATAATAATAATAATAATAATAATAATGATAATTAATAGTCAAAGACTTGTTTCTACGTAGTCACTCATCCACTAAGCTTTAACTAGACCCTTTACAGCAATAATAAATAATTGCCACCACACTAACGCCTTACAATTGGCTATCTCTGTTCAGAGAGGTATGGCGCAAAAATATATGAAAAGATCTTTGATCAGACTTCGTAAAACATATGTGAGACTATCACAATTGAAATATGACACTTTATGACACTTACATTTTATGGCACTGGTACATTATGACACATTATATGATACATTATTTATTACCTATTACAATGATGGATTATGACAGGACCCCTCGAGTTTTACCCCGATAGTTATAAATAGGTATTTAATATGTAAATAAATACCTTGTGATCACACTTTGACCTCGTTATACAGCTGCAGACAACGGTGCAGTTGGTCTTTATAGAATGTTACAACAGACTTGATGCAAATTCTGGTTTAGAAGTTCATCGGATAATATCCAAAAAAAGTGGACTTGCAGGTAAAGATCAACTTTTTTCACTTGTATACATACCGAAAATAATAATGTGTGATCTTGTGCACCGTCGACCATCTTAATAAATGTGATGCGTCTGTTGCTACATATTATTATATTCATAGGGGAGCTCTAAAACAGTAAGGGTCAAAGAGCCGGGAATGGGAAGTAATCAGTGTTGATCCAAAACAGAGGAGGGTAGGTTCAATTCTTTGGATCATGAGCCTTTTATCAGCATCAAGACAATTCTGTAGGTGAGGGGGTTAAGAGGTTATTTATCATTACATAATTACGTACACACCAAGTTCTTTAGCTTTACATATAGTTTGCGATCAATGATTTGTTCATGCTTATGTGTCTGAAATAATTGGGACTTGCACACTTAGATAATCATACAAGAGTTCAGCATAGATGAGTTTAGACACATGTGCAATACCTGGGTCTTTATATTTTAGATATGGTGTATATGTCTAATTAATTCACTATTAGAATTGTATTTTACTAATCTAATGAGAGTTCAAAAGAGGCTAATTGTATTTCCGACGCCAATATCTTTTTCTTTCTATGAATGTCAATATACACCACTTTAGAGGGATATATAAAGAGATATATGCCGCCAACTTGTAATCATTAGTAACTAGTAATACACAACCATGTGTATTTGCTGGTGTAAGGTAAACATTTCTTGCTCTGACCATGTAATATGCCCTTCAACTCAGGGTAGCAGCACACAGTGGTAGCCAGCTCACCTCACGGAGCTCTCAAACCCATGGAAAGTCAGTCTTAACCTAGCCCCCCGGCCATTTGGCAACCCAACTGGACTGTTTTTTTAGGATCACCATGGGTTCCCAAGGGAGTTCCTTAAAGTGGAGGGGTTCGATTCAAAAATGGACCTGTTTTTTTCCCTCCTTTATCGATCAATACCCCCCATTTCCCCCAAGGTTTCCCCAAAAAGGTGATTTTTAAATTAATAAAAAAAATTGGGGGTTGGCCCAGGTTGAGTTTTTTTACAAAGCTTTAAAATTTACAGAATGGAAGCATAGTTCCCATAAAAAAAAAGACTAAATTTTAAAAAAATATAAATGAATTTTAAAGGTACCCTGGTGAAACAAAGAATTTTGGGGGGAAAAGGGCCAAACCCCAAAAGGGGGATACATCCTTAAATGGGAAGCATAAAATTCGATCCAAAAAAAGGGGGAACGTCTAATTTAATAAGAGCCTCCCCCACAAGGCCCAAGTAGTAAAACGCTTAAAATTTTTATAAATTCTTAACTTAATTGCTGTCCCTATGTACTTCCAAAAATTTTGGATATTTTCCATAAATTAATTTTATCAAATCAAGGGACCTTAACCTGGGTTTTCTAAAAAAAAAAAAAAAAAAAAATTTGGAAATTTCCCCATAGGTCAATTTACGCTTAAACAAATTTATAATAAAAATTTAATTATATTTTTAAAATTTTTAATTTAAATATAAAAAAGGGGGAAAATTTCTTTTTTTAAAGTTAAATTTTCGAAAAATCCCAGTGTCACATAGGAAAAATAAATAAGGAGAACAAAACCCTTATAATGTTTGTTGATATTTTACCGCCCTTCAGGTTACTAAAAAACTTTTTTTGCAGACAACAAACTTTTTAATATTAAAAATAGTTAAAATTATTTTTTTTATTAAAAAATAAAATTAATAAAAGGAACAAAAGTATATAACATTTTAAAAAGAAAAAAACAATGAACAAACCCCGGGGAAAGGTTTCCCCGCTTTTTTTTAAACAATATGATTAAGGGAACAATTAAAATGTTGATGTAAATTAAAATTTAAAATTTTTTTTGAAAAAATTTTTAACAGAGGAATATTATTGGGGTACCCCCAAAAACCCCTTTTTCGGCATTTTGAAAACTTAAAGTTTATTAGAAGGGGAAAGTTACATTTTAGGTCAAAGGTAAGGATACAGGAAATTAATTTTATGATTTTAATACTTTTTTTAAATAATTTGTAAGGGACTTTTTACTAAAAAATTAGTTAATGAACAGAACATGAAAACAATTTCAATGTGATTATTACATTTAGACTTTTTAAAACAATAATTTGGGTTTAAGGGAACTTTTTACTTAAAGGGGACTTATTAAATCACACTATTTAAAACAAATGAAAAAAACAACAAGGGATAGTTTTCAGGAAGGTACACATTATAAAAAAATTTTTCATTCATAGGCTGGGTAGATTACCTTGGTTTATTTAAAGGGCGAGGTTTTAAATTTTGTAGCCCCGGGAATTATACGGGAGGTCCCCTTTGATAAAAAGTATAATTGAAAGCTATATTATATGTAAAAAACATTCAAATTTTAATCCAAGTGGGACTTTTTTGGACCCCCAGGGACCCCTTTAAATCCCATGCCTATTCCCCCTGGAAGGAATAAGTAATTGATCATCTAGTTAAAAATTCTGGATAAAAAAATTTTGAAAAAAATTTTTTCCATTTGAAGTCTTTAAAAGACTATAACCTGCGGTAACCGACAAAGGGGAGCCTTTATTGGGAATTAAACTTCAAACCAAATAAAAATTGGGGTTTAAGGAAAACATACCAAGGAGAAAACTTTTCCCAAGAAGCCCTTAGCAGGCCACACACGTGAAAAACAAAAATTTTTTGCGAATAAAAAACCCAACCCCGGGCGTCGACGATTGGGCTTGGTTTTTAAGTGAAAAAATCGGGTAGAAATAATGTTTAAATATAAGTGGAAAAACAAGACATTAACCAGAAGAATTTTGCAAAAATTTTTAATTTGGGTTAAAACCCCATGAAATTTGGTTTTTAAGAAGGCTTTTTTCCAGCCTTGACTTTATCTTAGTAATAGTAATTACTGGGGGTTTTAAAGTGTGAAAGTATGTTTGAGTTTGGATTTTCCTCACCTTGTATTGCTAAAAGAAAAAATTTGAAAATTTGGCAAGGTTGTTGGGGGCTTTTTCTCAATCTATTAATTTTGAACGGGAATTTGTTTAAAGGAATTGGACCTTAATTGAACTTAATACCCCCCCCCAAGGAACCCCTTTTAACTTTATGAAATTACGTCCCCAAACTCCCCCACAATTCCCGATTTTGGGAGGTTTTTTCTTACCACCTCCTGGTTATCAAGTGATCAACCAGGGATTTCTCTGCAAAAACCAAGTAGGCCAAACCCCCCGGGGGTCGGAACCCATTGGGTTTGGTTTTTAATGGAAAAAATTTGATTCAAAGGGAAAGAAAGACTTTTGGAAAATTTGGGTTATAACAATCCCAAGTAAGTTATAAGGAGAACTTTTTTTTAAAAATATTATAAAATACATAATGTTTTTGGGGGGTGTAATTACCTGTTTATTTGTGTAAGCGGTCTTTTTTTTCCCCCCCCTTAAAGGCAATTAAACCTGACCGACTGGTTGGGTGCTTGGCCCTTAAACCTAAAAGAGGATTCCCCTGATGGGGGGCCCCTGGATTTTTTTAAAAATTCTTATGTTTTAAAAACCCCTTTTAAGGGTTGGGGAAATTAAGTTGTAGGGGGTTTTTATTTTTCTCTATTAAATAAAATTTTAAATTAAAAAAAATTATGTTAAATTTTTGATTATATTTTTTTAAATTTTATATCAGGCAGAACAATCTTTTACCCACTCTGTTCTTTTTAAGTGCAAGCCCTCACTAACTTGTTTTATGAAATTTAACTTAAATAATTTTAATCTTATTCTATTAAGTTATTTTATTGGATTATAAGACGGGTTGGGGAAAATTTTGCAAAAACCCCAAGTGTTTATTTTTTATCTTATTGTCTTTTTGTACCATTAGTATTTGATTTAAAAAATCTGAATTTTTTTTTTTTAAAAAGAAAAAGCCAAAAAATTTCCCACAAAATTTGGGGTTTAAAAAAAAAAAAAAATTTTTCTAAAAGTGTTTCACTTCTTTTTTGAAAAAAAAAAATAAAAAAAAATTCTTTTTTAATCCATTTTAAAAATTAAAAACACAACATTTTTGAATTTTGCATTTTAAAAGCATGTCACTTTTTATTTTTAATAATATCCCAAACAAAATTAAATGCAGCAAAAAAACTTAAAATGCGTAGTCCAAACCTTATTTTCAAAACCCAAAAATTACCATCAATACAGGGGAAGAGAATTTTTAAAAAAGAAATTGGGAAAAGCATTTTTAAAAATTTTTCCCTTCTTTGGGGAAAAATTTTTTATTTTTTATTGATTTATTTTTCAGGTCATTTTTTTAAATTTTTTAAAAAAAAACCCTTTAAAATTTTTGTTTCGGAAAATTTTAAACTTAAAAATTATTAAAAAAAATTTCTTTTAAATAAATTTTAAACATTTTTAAACTCCCAAAACTTGTTTTATCCCCTTTTCAAGGAAATTTAATTGTCAAGGTTCTCATCCAAAACTAAAAATTTTTTTCCCCAAAAAGTTGCATTTTTTAAACATATTTTAACCTTGGGGGGGTTTAACTTTAACTCTTTAACATTAGAAATTATTTTTTCTATAATAGATATACTTCATAAAAAGCCACTTTTTCTAAAGGGTATCTAAATACTTTGGGCCAAATTTTTTGTATAATTTTTCCAACTATATTTTGAAAAATCAGTAATTTTTTTTTATTTTTAAAACCAATTTCCTTACTTTACTATGATTTATAGATTTAATTTTTTTATGGTAAGGTAATTTTGTTTCATAGTTTTCCTTCATAGTGCCGTGGGTGAATGAAACCCCTCTTCATGATTTGCGACCTAATCAAGTGGTGGCTTTGAGGGGGGGTGCAAGAATTTTTGATAAGGGTTTTTTTCTTGATTTATTGAAGTACGTGACAGCAAACAGGTTTAGGCTGCAGCGGGGCCTCAGGATTTTGCGAATGGGGGTAAAAAAAAACTATAAATAAATTCAAGAAAAATAATTGTGCAGAAAAATAGTATAGAAATAGGGGACAAATCTTGATAAAATATTTCTGTTTTTTTTTTTATATAAAAAATTTCCCTGTTTAAAATTTGAGTTAAAAGGGAATTAAAGCATTTGGGTTTTAAAAAAAAAGGGTTAACTTACCCCAAATTTAAAATTCAAAAAAATTAGGAATTTGAAAATTCTTGAAACTTTTTAAATAACCAAGTTCGGGCATAAATATTTCTCAAAATTTTAGTGTTAATATTCTTAAATGCTATTTTAAACCCTTTTTATCCCTTTGCGGGCGGGGTAAAAATATTGAAACGGATTCCCCGGTGTGGGGGACGGGTGCCCGGCTTATTTTATACTGTGTTCCTGTTCCTGGGGAAAATGAGTGGTTAAAAAAGGTTTGTTTTTTAAAAAGTCTTAATTGGTTTTAAAAAAAAGTGTTTCCTGTTTTTTTTAAAAGATAACCCTTAAAGGTATTTACATGTATCTGACAGTACGAAGGTTATTGTTACCTTGGCAGGCTATTATTTCCAGCCAATTGGACAGGCCTTTATTTCCATGTTGCACAGAATTTATTACTAGTAGCTGCAAACGGGCCCATTATTCCCCACTGCGCTTGCTAGTGTAAGTATTTTTATTCTAGTTTGGTAAATTCAAAGTTTGGGAAGGTTACATTTGGCACGGGTCTTGCATAACTAGAATTGAATGCCCCAATAAAGCATTTAATTTTGGGGGATTCCCCAAAACCCTTGGAATACTCTATGGAGTGGGGGAAAGATGCTGTACCTGATAATTTAACTTCTTTTTTTGAACAAATCAGGTTTCCCCCGAGGCAGGGGGGCCCCAAAAAAAAAAACAAAATTTTCTCCCGGGGGTTGCTGTCTCCCAAACCCCTACTACTGGGAAATTTATACAGGGGGTTTTTTGAGGCATACCACCAGGTCAAAAACCTGTATGGGTCACCACTTCTTCAGCAGGCCCCAAAAACCGGCAGCATAAATATATATCCCCGTGGGTATATATTTTTCCTTGCTCCAAAAGAAAGGAATTCCTAAGTTATTGAAAAAAAATAGGTTTCATAGTTACAAAATTTTTTTAAGAATTGTGGATACCCTTTTAAAGGAAATGGTTATAATGTAACAGTGCATCGGGTTGTTATAAATATTTTTCAATCCCAACATGATGAGAATTAAACCATGTGTAACATTAGGCTCTTTATTTGAAAAACTTTTAAAGACACAGTCTCTTCCCCCAACCCCCAAGGCTAAAATGACTTTTTCCCTCACTTTGTATATAATTCTTCACGCATGTCCTTGTTTTGAAAAACCCAACTGGGGGTGAACTTTTCTACAAAAAAAGATCCCCAGATGCGCACATGTGTCTAATTCAAAAACAGTTCATCTAAATAAAAATGCATGTAATCTTTCATAAGTGCTTTCATGGTTTTTTAAGGGTTTTACAATACATAATTGGCTTGCTTTTTTTCATTTTTATGCTTTAGTCAGGTACCCCAAAATCATTTCCCTTTAAGGCATTAGTATGAAACCTTTTGGTGAGATATACATTTAGTTTATTAAATTTAAAAAAATGTGTATTTGGTATACAATACGAAGGTGAAAAATTAGACACCCTCATCTGGGTATTTTATTGTAAAATTTTTGCCATCCAAGGTTTTTTCGTAAAACCTTCCATTATGGATTCATTTTGTACTGATAAAGCCACTGGTGGCAATACTCTACATAAAGGTCCCCCAGTGTTACCTTTTTAAATTTTTAATAAAAAACTTAAAAATGCTTAGATACCATTTTGTAATGTCAGTCTAGCATGATAACATTCACACAAAGCACAAATTCAGAGTAGTTCAGTAAATTTTAAAATAAGGAAATTATGTTTTTAAAAAGGGTTTCAAAAATTAAATTTTAATTTTTTAGTACAAGATATAAACCCCTGCACATTGGGTGAAAGCTCCTCAAACAGGTACTCAAAAAAAAACGAGGTAACGGGGAAAGGGGACCATTACCTCTGAATCAATGTGTGACCAAACAGGAACACGATGGGTTTTGGTAACCCCGTCACTTTCATTTTGTTGCCCCTTTTTTCCATTTTAACATGGTATAATGGAACTAATTTTAATTGTTTTTTTTTTTTTTTACACATGGTCATCCCCCAACCAGGAGGGTGCCCAATAAGCAAGAAAACCCCCAAAAAAAATATTTTCATCACATTCGCACTTTCCCCTTAAATAATCACTGTTTTTTGTAGAGGATCCTATACGACAGTTCAAAAAGTTCCTCCAAAGCCAATATAAAAAAACCCCCTCCTTTAAAGTGCGGGCTTGCACTTCCCATTTCGGGGTCTCAGTCCGGCTGACCATTTTCCCCCTGAACCCCCTCCAAAAAAATAAATTCCCCTGCTCACACTCCAACAGTTGTCAGGTCCCAAAAACCCAGTCTCCATTTCACTCTTATCTAACACGCTCGCACATGCTTGTGGAAGCCAAGCCCCTCCCCCACAAAACCCCCTTTACCCCCCCCCCAAACCTTTTCTAGGATGACCCCTACCCCCCTTCCTTTCCAAAAGATTTTACGTCTCCCAATCATTCTACTTTATCCATTCTTTAAAAAGAAACCCAAAACCCCCTCAACAACCTCTCTTCAGCCCCCTTGACTAATACTTTTATTAAAACCACCCCTCCTCCTGTTTCCCACTCAAAAATTTTCTGATAGTTTTTTCACCAACTTACCCTTAGCAGGGCAAACCCATGCCCCCAGCCCCCTCCTCGCTGCAGCATTTGCAAAACCCAAGTTCAACCCCCATAAGTGTTGGGACCACTATACTTTTATACATCCCTTTTTTTGCCCCGGATAACGTTTTTTTGTCTCCCCGATATTTCGACTCGCCCCTCGCCCTTTTTTTTTCCCTCAATTCTATGGTTAGCCCTCCTTCATTAATGTAAAAAAAATATTTAATTGGGGGAAATTTTTTCTGAAATTTTTAACCCCGATAATTTTTTTTTTGTTTTGTTCCATGCACATTCTCTTTTCATGTAAATTCAGTTTTTCATAAATCGATTTGAGTAACTTTTTTTTTTTTCCCCCAAATTTTTGTAATGCCCAAAACAAAAATAACGCAATTTGGGACTTAAGCTTTTTTTTGGGTTTCTTTTTCTTTGCTGAGTGTTTAATAAGTGTTTTCATTTTATCAGTTGCCTATTTGTAGTTATGGAAAATTAATCGTGAAAAAAGTATCCTTCTTATTTAAAATTTTTCAAAAATATTTTTTTCCCAAAGTGTAAAAACAACCTGAAACCCTTTTCCAAATTTTCATAAACTTTTTTAAATTTTACTGATCATGTGCCCATCGTTTTCCAGATAAGCATATTTATACTATCATGTTTTATAAATTCCCATTATTAATTCCATAATTCCCATTTGCAGAAAAATTCTTTTTTTTCTTAAAATGTAGATTGATTTCCGTTATTGACAATTTTTCTGACATTTTGTGCTCCTTTTTTGCATAGTAAATAATTCTGTACTGTATTAAATATTTTATTTTCAAAGTTTAGCTTTTATCAGCCCCTGATCCACCGGAGGTCTGGTCATGGACTGGGGTGCGGGGGGGGTTTAACCCTTAGAAAACCCCGGTTCTCCTGGTAGTTCTCTTTTAACTGAAAAATAAGGGCTTCCAGTTTGTTTTTTTTTTTTTTTTTTTTTCAAGTCGGCCGTCTCCCCCCGAGGAGGGGACCCAAAAAAAAAGAAAGAAAATCCCCAAAAAAAAAATACTTTCTCATCATTCAACACTTTTACCCCCACAAATTACTCTTTTTTAGGTGCTCAGAAAAAAACGTTTAGAACATATACGTTAAAAAATACCAACATATCCCTCCAAAAGCCCAAAATCCCAAAACCCCCCCCAAATGCAGGGATTGTACTTCCCATTTCCAGGACTCAATCCCACTATATGAAAATAAACCCTTTCCTGAATCCTTCACTAAATATTACCCTCTCACACTCCAAAGACGTCAGGGCCCAAATATCATTCGTCTCCATTCACTCCATCTAAACCTCTTTCACCTTGCTGGGGGTTCCCGCCCCCCCGCCCCCAAAACCCCCTTTACCCCCCCTTTCCAAAACCTTTCGAGGAAGACCCTACCCCTCTTTCCCTTTCCCCTATAGATTTAATGTTTCATTCATTCTAATTTGATCCTTCTCTCTAAATGACCAAACCCCCAACCCCCTCTTCTGCCCCCGGGGCTATGCTTTTTTAATCCCACCTTCTCCTAATTTCCCCACTCCCAATTTTGCTAATATTTACACCACATTGCCCTTAAACCTAATCTCCACTGCCTCCAAAAAGTTTCCCCCGTGCTGCTTTACCCCCAACTTCACATCCATATAGAGTGTTGGGACTACTATACTTTCATACATTCCCTTCTTTGCCTCCGTTCATTCCCTCAAAGGTAATCTTAAAAATAAAGAAATCCTTTTTTTTTAAATTTGTTTTATTGCTTCCCGATGTTTCCTGACCTATCCCATACTAAAAATATGATGTATGATTTTCATACTGTATTTACGTACATACGTATTGGTAATAAATTTTTTTAGCAGAAAAAGGGGAAACAGTGAGCAAGGAGAAAATAACGCACCAAAAACGGGGGGAAGGAATGAAGTTAAAAAAGACTTGAGAGAAGTAGTAGTGAAAGAAACATTGGTTTAGGGGGGCAATTTATCTAAACTTTTCCATTCCGGGGGTGAAAGGCACACCCTTCTTGTCAAAGTGAGTTTTGATAATTTAGAGGTAACGAGTTTGCATTTTAAAAAACTCCTTTAAGTGAAAAATTGAAAAGAATTATTCAAGGGTATACCCTTTAATTGAAAATGATCTTGTGAAAGACGTGTGGCGAAAGAAAAACATTAATTGTAATTTTTTGTAAATTTTCCCCCAAAACATATGGCGTTAATTTTCTCTAAATGACTTTTGAAGTGGTTGGCAAATGTCGATTTATCTGCAATGGATTGGGGGGCCCCCGACAGAGGCAAAATAGGGGATGAACACGCCTATGGCATGGAGGAAATTGCTCTTGTCCCCCCTTCCCTTTTACCAGGGAAAAAACTCTTTTGGTTAAGAATTATTGTTTCCTTGAATAGTTTGTGAAAAAAAGAAAAATTTAATGATAATTGACATTTCCCATCCTCCCTTTATTTCCTTTTATCCCTTTTTCCCCTTTCCCCCATTCCTCTTTATCAAAAAAAATGAAATTAATGTGATGCAATATTTTTTTGACCAAATGTTTGACAGAGATAGGGAAAAAAGGGAAACTGGGTTTTTCCCCGTCTATTCCCTATGCAGGGTTGGGGGCATACAGGGGGAGAATTTTTTATTCTGTGCTGAAGTTCTACCTTAGGGAGCTTTGTTTTCCTTCCAAATAGTGAAGATACTATAACTTTGGAATTGCATTAGGGTAACTACTCCCTTTACGGAAAAAAAGGAAATGTTTATGAAAATTTTCTCCCTCCTCCCCGTTTTGGGGGTTTTACATCCAGCTGTCTCCCACCCAAAGGGAGGGGGCCTCGAAAAAGACAAATACTTTATAAAGGTGTCATGAGTTTTTCGTAGGAGTGAAGGAGCGAATGGTATTTGGGGGGCCCGACGATCTGTTGAGTGTGAGAGGGGAATATTTTGGAAAAAGGGTTTGGGGAAAAAAGGGGTTTTTTTTATATAGCCGGGTTGAGTCCTGGAAATGGGAAGTACAATGCCTGCCCCCTTTAAAAGGGGGGGTTTGGGGTTTTAGCATTTGGAGGGAATGTTGTGTATTTTTAACGATAGCTTTTAAACTGTTGTGTTTTTGAGCACCCCTGCAAAAACAGTGATTATGTGTGAGTGAGGGGAAACTGTGAAAGTGAAAAGTATTTTCTTTTTGGAATTTTATCTTTTTTTTGGGGGCACCCCCGCCCCGGTGGAGACGGCCAACTTGTTAAAAAAAAAATTAGTAATTTATCCCGGAGAAGGGGGTTTCTAGCTCCATAGTTGTTTTTATGCCCCTAAAGTTCCTGGTATAGGTTGGTAACAGCAAAACGGGGGGTACTACATCCTGCCAAATCGTGTAAAACAAAACCGTAATTGTTTTAAGTGGTAAGGTGGGCCGGTTTTCGTTAAAACTCAAGTTTCCACCCTTGCTACCCGCTAGTTACCTTAGGTAAAATACCATTATGACAAGCATTAAAAATTTTAAATACCACCAAATTCTGGGTTTCTGGTTTTTTTTCCTTTTAAAATTTTTTTTTTTTATTTTTTTACTATGGGGGAAAAGGCCCGTTTTCCTCCTAACCCAGTTTAAAGAAGGGTTGCCGGGGGAGGGCTAGTAACCCCTTCTCGAAAATTATAATTTAAAAAAAAACTTTTTTCTTTTTCCCCCTCCTTGGTGGGACAGGGGCCGAAAGTTAAAAAAAAAAAAACCACACCCTTCATTTTTCATTTTTTAAAAGTTTTTTTCATTTTTCCCTTATCTCCATAAAGTAACAAATTCTTTTCCCAAAGCCAATTCATTTTAAAGAGGTGACTAAAATGCTGAAAAAAGGGAGAACCCTTTTTCTTATTTACTTAAATTTAAAAGAGAAAATTGTTTTTCTTTCTAAACCCTCCCAGTGGGGAATTCCAGTTTTTTAAAAAAAAACTTTGAGAATTCGCTAAATTTATAAAAAAAAAATTTAATACTTTTTCTTCAAAAAAAATCTTCTTCTAAAATAAAAACCCCCCAAAAATTTTTATGGTTATTTAACTTTTCATTTTTCAACAACGTTTTTTGCCCCAAATTCCCATCTAACCGGGGCCTCTCGCTGTCAAGTTCCTGGTGCATTTCACACAAAAAAAGATGGGGAAAACTCAACACTTTTTTGCCCAAAGACTTTTGGAATCCCCTTCTCAGACACTTCCCCCTTTTTCCTCTTTTTTTGAAATAAAACTCATTTATTTACGAAGTAAAAGTAGTAAAATAATTCTTATATTCCTTTTGAAATTTTTTTTTTACATTTCTTCCTCCTTTTCATACTCAATTTTTATTACAACCCCCAAATTACCGACGACTTGGCCAGATCATACAAAAAGTAATTGAGCATTTCCCTTTTTGTTTATTCCCAATATACCCCCAAAACTGCTTATAAAAAATTTAAAAAAATATTAACCCAAAAAAGTTATTTAATGCAAAAGGGGCTTCTACATGGGGGGTTGCTCCCCAACCTTTTAATACTCTTCCTTAAAAATTTTTTACGCTTTTTTAAACAACCCATCAAAACTTACAATTTTTGGGTTTTTTGTTATTTTTTTTTTTTTTTTTTTTTCCCTTTATTCTTGGAGGAAACAGATTTTTATAGGCCAAAAATTTTTTTAAAGGATGATAAATTCCGCAGGGTCCCTTTTTAACCCCTTTTGGTAAAAATTTAAAATAAAAAAAAAATTTGTTTCCCTTTTTGGGCATTCATTTTTTTAAAAATTTTTATTTTGGGGGAAAAAAAAAGAGCAACTTGAAATTTTTTAAAAGCCCCTTGCTTTTTTCTCTTAAAACTCAAAAGGGGGGGCAAACTAAAAGGCATTTTAAAGGGGTTTTCACGGAAAAAAGCCTAATTTTCCCTAACCCAAAATTAAAGGAAAATTGGTTTTAGTCTGTAGGGAAAAAAAAAGTTTTTTGAAAAAAAGGGTGTGAGAATTGAAGCAAAAAACAAAGGGGTATGTACCCTTTTTTTTTCAAAAATTTTTCTCAAAAAATAATTAGATCTGCTATTTTTTTTTTTTTTTGTTTAACCCTTTTCAAAAATTTAGGATTGATTCTCTAAAAATTTAATAATTTTTTTTATGGTTTCGGTGAATGCACGGAAAATAAAAGTGAAAACCTTTTGGAAGACAAAAGGGTTTCAAGAGCCAGAAACCTTTGCCCTTTTCTCCCTTTTTTTAAACCCCGAATGTTCTATACCCGAACAAAAGAATAATAAGGTTTTCACTAAAAAAAGGTATATTTTTCCTCCTTAAGGGAAAATTTTTCCATCCTTTTTAAAGGGTTTACGTTCTTATCCTTTTATATTAAAATTTCTTTGTTATTAAAATTTAATAATTTTGGGGTTAAAAAATTTTATTAAGTTTACATTGTTTAAAGTTTAAGGGCCTTTTTAAAAATTAGAATTTTTTTGGTCCCCCTTTTTTTTTAAATGTTGCCTTCACCTTTGGTTTTTGATGACTTTTTGCATTCAAAAATTAGAATGTACCAAAAATTAAAGAAAGTGGGAGTTTTTTTTTTTAATTTTATCTTTTTGGAATAGCAGTTTTTATTTTTTAGTCCATCTCTCCCAAAGGACTTTTTATTTAAAATGAAAAAATTTTTTGCTCTGCATAAAATTTATAAGAAAATATTTTAAAACAAAAAATTCTTTTTAAAATTCATTCTGTTTTTATTTTCCTTTTTTGGGGGAAGGTAGGCATAGCAATCTAAATTATTTAAATATATTTTTAATTTCAATCTATGGGCTTTAAAAATTTTCCCAGGATTCAAAACAATCATTGATGGTTAAGAAAAGTCAACAACCCGGGGGTTTTATGAGATGCTTAAGGGCAAGAGCAAAGGATTCGAAACCTTTTTTGGCTCTGGGAAATGTTATTAATTGGCAAAAAGCAGATTATGATTTTCAGTATCATCAAATTGAACAGCATACCAACATTCCAGTCCTCATCCTTTCCGAGGGAAGAGCTATGATTACTAGGTGAGCGTAATTAATACTTTGTCAGTAAAGGAAATTCTCATTGTTAGTTATTTCTTACCCAGGGTGGGTGACTCAAAGAAGACAACATTCACTTTCACTTTGTCTTGTTGCTATTTTAGACGATAAGAGATGTTACCATGGTAATCCTTTAAAAATCTAAATATCTTGGTTCCTCTTAAGATTCTTTTGCTTCATTGTAAGATAATCAGTGAAGTTAATTTTGAAAATAATTGTCTGTCATAGTAACAGATTAATTAGTAGTGAAAAGAAAAAGGTATAACAAACTGAACCGAAGTAATAGGTATAAACATAGTAACTTTAAGATAGAAAATACAAAGAATTTAGGGGCAAAAGTCATTCTGTGTAAAGAATGATTGTTATAGAATGTAGAGTCTAGCTAGATTATAAATTCTTTCTTAAGGAACAAAGACATCAAAGATGGCAGAGGAAAATGTGGATATGTATGCAAGATGTTGAAAGATTAAAAAAATCCAGTCATTTATGATCAATATTGATTATATATTTGAAATTAAGAGTTAATGTAGTAAAGGCAAATAAAAGGTCTTGTAAGAAAGAAAAAGACAAAGTTTTGGTTTATCCAAGGAAAATTATATGAAGGCATAAATCACATTTAACATTCAGGATGAGAGTGCTTTGGCAATTTTCAACTTTAGTATAAAGTAAGAAGGATACCTGTGTGGGTAAGTTGTAAGCAAGGATATATTAATGTTGTAAATTTATAATGCAATGTAATGAAACCTAAATAGACTTCAGTAAATTAAAAAATCTTGTATAGAATGAAACCAAACATTTAGTGAAATGTCAAAGCATAGCCTTGACCAGTGAACTTGAATATAGTATACTATATAGATGTGGTTTAATGATTCCACATTAGGAAGGCAACTAAGTGTTGGTGAGTGTGTCTTTGGGTCACCCTATCTCAGTTTTGAACTAATTGTGATGGGTTAATGAAAAAATATATTTCTTATCTGCTAGGAACTGCCTTGATAAAAAAAAAAAATCTGATTTTCTTTCATTAACCTGCCTGTGTTATTTCCATACAAGTCTTAGAGGACCTGTCCTTAATGCTTTCACTTTCCTCTTCCCAGGTTTATTATATATTAGGCTTGAGTAATTGTTACTGTTTTTATTTATTATATATGCTAAAGTCTTGTGGCTGACTTACAAACAAGCTTTCAATATTTCAGTGATGTTGAAGTGAGACTGGAACCAAAGCACACTAATGTGTCTACAGCATTCACTCAAATTCACTCTAAGTTAACTCCAGATCTTCTTCAAAGATTGCGTTCATACCTCACCACTGCTAGATTGATGAGCTACACACTGTCAGATGAAATGCAGAAGGTAAAAAGTTTACATAAATAGTACATGATTTTTTTTTTTTCAAAATATTGAAACCGAAACTTACTAGTCAGCTTTTCTCCTTTCTGAAGTAATAGGATGTAACAGGTGCTTCTGAGCATTTCATGAAATGTTTCATACCTTGAATTCATTAATAAAACTTAAATTCTTTTGTACTTTTTGATATCATTACAAATTTTCAGTACCCTGGTAGTAATTTAAGGAAAGATTCTGGTTTAGTAACTGCATAAGAATCTTATGCTCTTCATTGTATGAAATGCTGTTCTGTTTTTTGTTATACTTGGTTAATCATGAAATTTGTGCTTAATATAAGTAAAAAATTTTCAGATGGTGCAGGATGACTTCGTTGATAGCCGTAAGAATGAGAATGGAATTACAGCAAGTGACCTTCATAGTCTGTTAGTTCTTGCCAGGTACAGTAATTTTTCTTAACCTTTAAAAATAAGTGTATTCAAAATTGGCAGTTGCAAGTAGTGGTAGAAAGGGATTTTGTGCTCAGGATTCTGATGTCTTGTACCAAGGGCTGTACTACCTACAGTACTTGAAAGTAGGGAATGTGGGGAGTTCTAACTTTTGGGCCATTTCTTTAACATTAGATTATTAGCATAAATTAGAGCTATATCATTAAATTTGAACATCTTTATGAAATCTGCTTAATTTATCTTATCATTGTCTTTGTTTTATTTCTTATTACTTTAAGTTGGTGTTTTCTGGTATATGTATTACTTGGTTAGGTGTGCAGTTTGTATTTTTGTTCCATGTCTTGTCCATCCCAGAGTATTTTGATGTCTCCCAGGCCTTAGAAATGTTTTTTTCCGCTCATTGATAGCAAAGATTTCAGGAACGTAAACCATGTGAATTATGAATGTTTACTCTATCTTATTTTTATTTTTCAGACTTGTTGCTGTTAGCTGTGGAGAAACGTCACTTACTCCTGATATTTGGAGAAGTGTGAAAATTCTTGGAAATGAACAAAAGTTGCGGCTGAATGTCAGTTCTCATTGATATCTTTATTTTCAAATGAATGTATTCGTCTTTTAAATACATATGTGTATGCTCAAAAGAATAAAAAAATAGTGTGTATTAGGTGAGGAAAATACATAAACTTGTCTCTGATGGTGGTATCCATATATAAACTATTTTTGGAATTCGGTCAAATTACGTATAAAACGAGAGGAGACAGGATTATAGATGAGTTATGTACAGAGTGAGAAGTAATGTAAGATACATTATTAATGAGTGCACTGTATATTGTTGTAATCAGGCAGTTAGATTGTTTAAAAACTTACACATATTGAAATGTTAGATATATACTGTTTAACCCTTTCAGGGTCTGTGCCGTAGATCTACGGCTTTACGTTCAGGGTCCAAACCGTAGATCTACGCCATGAGCTCAGCTCACTCTGATAAGCTGCGAGTGGTAAATTTGGGCCTAGATATGAGAGATACATCTATGTGGTATGTGTGCACCACATAAAACAAATCCTGCAGCACACAATGTATAATGAGAGAAAAAAAACTGAGACAGTGATTTTCGATTAAAACAGCGACTTTGCAGTGTTTTTTCGTATGTTTTTTATAGTTGTATTTGCGATTTCTTGGTCTCGTTTGATAGAATGGAAAATATATTACAGAAATAGAGATGATTTTGATTGGTTTTAGTAATGGAAATGACTTGAAACTGAGCTCAAAGTAGCGGAAATGTTAAATTTTTGTCGATGTTCAAGAGTAAACAAACGACCTCACACGTCTAATACACGTCAGCTGGTGGGTCTAATATACATTCACAAATGTGGTGATGATATACAACTATTACAATATTGCACAACACTAAATCTTCTATTTTTTGGTTTGAATAAAAATTCATTATGTGAATAAAAAATCTAAATGGAATTAATTTGTAAAGCCTCAAAACATAACTAATGAGCAGAGGAAATGTTAGTTTAGTGCCAGAAATACTTACACTGTTTATTCTGGACTCTATTTTGAAATTGGAATATTTTGAACTTTGTGTTTAATTGGCCAAATTACCAATTTCCAGTCACTTTATTTTGTAGTTGAAACAGTTGACTGGGCGATTTCTTGTGCTTAATCGATAGAATAGAAGTGATACTAGTGAAATAGCTAAGAATTTGGTCAACTGGAATAATGTAATTGGCCTAAAATGGGAGTCAAAGTCGGCAAAATCACCGATTCGTAAATATCGCTGACGCGTCAAAATTCGCGAGAGCATAATTTTGTCAATTTTCCATCAAATTTTGTACTTTTTTTTTACTACCTTCAGAAAGATTCTCTACCATTTCATAAGAAAAAATAACAAAATCTGGCCCCTGAAAGGGTTATTGAAATTTTAAAAAATTCTAACTAAATTCCTTAACATAATTTTATACTGAAAGACAAATTAAATTGTTATTTTCCCCACACTTGTCCATTGAGGAGGAGGTTGTATTGCCCTTCTAAAAATTTCCCTTTTGAGTTTTCCAAGCTTATACAGTATTGTATATTTTTAAATAAAAATATTGGTGTAAATTTTACTTGTTTCTATTTTTTTTTTTTTTATCCATGAATGGGGCGAGGCTTGTATATTGCAATCTCCTTTTGGGAGATTCTTTGATGCTGGTGAGGGGAAGTTAATGTAAGAAATTGGACTTGCCCTCCCTTTCTTTTGATCAAACCCGATTGCCTCACATTTCCCAAGACACTGTATAGCTTTGTATATCTAGCTTTTATTTTTCTTCAAGAGAGGAGGGCATTTCTTGATGCTGTGATAGCTATTTATTCCATGAACTGAAGCTGCCCTCCACTTGGTTTAAACTGATTACTTCCTATTTCACAGTTATATGACCTGTACAAGTTTAACACTTTTGCATTGAATGCAGTAAGTTTTTAGTTATACACCCCATACCCATCCTGTGCCTCTGTTGGTGCAGGACTCTTAATCCAAGGGATTAGTTATCCATAACATGAAACAATCCAGATCACTTCAAATGCTCAGGTGCTCCTGTGTGAATATAATCCACATGCTTTTCCCTAATATTTGGTGCTATGTGTGGGTTATGTTTAATGCTTCCTGTCCATGAATATGATGATTGTTGTATGACACAGGATTTAATGAATTCTTTTGAATATAACCCAGCCTATGGGCTGGGTTATTATATTCTTGTGATAAGAGATTAATTAAAGGAGTGGATTTGTGCAAAATGAGGACCTTAGTTTGTGCAATAGATTAAGTTTCAATTGAAAAGTCAGTGAATGTGTATTAAATGTGACTTAGAAGAGCAGTTGGTGAGCTTGCCAGGATGTTGAAGGTGTTGGCAATAGAATTTGTCATTTTTATTGAATTGCAGATATTAGTTTCCATGTGATAACTTGATGATCAGAAGATCATAATTAACGCTGACACTTCAACAGCATCAAGAACTTAAGGCACACTGTACAATTCCTTTTGTGTGCTTTAAGGTAGTGGGAATCTTATCCCACACCCATTACTATGCCTTTTGCATGTGTTGGGGTACAAGGGGCTAAGAGTTATGGGATATGGGGAATATCTTCCGTTGTGCAGCAAACAAAACAAATCTTGGTAACTTTTAAGATTTTGTACAAAAAATGTACTACTGAATATGTAGGGGTTTTTTTTCCACATGCCCTAATTATTTGCTTAAAAATATTTAGTTAATTTTCTTTAATATTAAACAGTCCCCTTCCTTGTCTCTTATTCATCTTCACCCCCCTCCTCCTCATAACCTCCCTCTTCCTCCTTGCCTTCCTCTTCCACCACTGCCTCCTCATCTCCCTCCCTGCCTCCCTCTACATCGTTGCCTGCCTGCCTCTCACCCCTCTCCTCCCATCCTCTGTCTTCCTCTTCCTAATCCTTGTTTCCCTCCCTCTTCCTCCTCACCTTCCTCTTTGCCTCCCTCTTCTTTTATCTCTCTTCATTGCTTCCTTTCCTCTTCCTCATCTGTCCTCTTGTGATGTGGTTGTTGCAGATTTTTCTCACACCCGATGAATCCCTCTCCAGTATTTATAATTGGAAATAACTTACAATGTGTCCTGCAGGTACCACAGTCAGGGGGTGTTACCCCTTACTCACATATTTAAGAGTGCAAGTCATGGCCTACCTCACTCCATAAGTGTGACCTTGGTTCTTGCACTCAGGATGGAGCCGCCACGACAAAGACGGAGCATAAATGAACAACAAAAAGTTGCAAGACGCTTTTTTTTTTCTTTTCTTTCAGAAAAGTGGAACTAGACATTTTAATTTTATCTAATTCACAGTGGACTTATGGATTATATTTCTTTTAAGAGAGTGTATTGATGCTTTATGGCTCTTGATTTAAGGCATCATATCTGAGCTATTCCTCGGATCAAACCTGAAAACCTATAGTTCCCAGTGCTGGATGATTTACTCTTCAAGGAAGGTCTCTTGATGCCAGTGAGGAGGCTCTTAATCCTCATGGATTGAATCTGTCTCCCATTCCCTAGGCACTGTTTAACTCCTATGGGTTTAGTGCCCCCCTTTCCCCACAAAAGTAATAATTTATAAATTTAGTGATTCCATTCTTGAAATCTTACACCTGTTATGGACTGTTCTCTCTCCCAGTGAAATCACTCCTTATGAAAGCAAAAGACTGCAGGAAGTGCAACATCCCTCACAAATAAAGCAGGGGTACCATGAGTACACCAAAAGACAACACTAAGTTTTGGGGGACCAAGACTGTTCAACTGTCTCCCATCATACATAAAGGGGATTACCAATAGACCACTGGCTGTCTGCAGGAGGGAACTGGACAGGCACCTAAAGTCAGTATCTAACCAGCCGGGGTGTGCTTCGTACATTGGTTTGCATGTGGCTGGCAGTAACAGTCTGGTTGATCAGGCCCTGATCCACTGGACCAGGCAGTGGGAGCATTGACCCCCAGAACACCCTCCAGGTATATACATAGTTTCAGTGTTTGTACTCTCCTATATGTGACTGCAGGAGTCGAGTCAGTCTTGGCCCTGCCTCTCAACTTGCTGCTTGCCAGAATCAGTTACTCCTATCTTTGTGGGCTTTCTTGTACCTGCTCTAAACTATGTATAAAGTGAAGTAAATGGCCACCCCAATCCCAGCCTGGGATTGAGAGATCACCATTCAATGCCATACTATATTCCCACATGGTATAATTAGGGTGGGGGTAAAGGGCGAGGGGCTGGAACTTCCAGCAAGCATGCGTGAGCGTGTTAGGAGTGAATGGAGACTAATGGTTTTTGGGGACCTGACGAGCTGTTGGAGTGCGAGCATAGTATTTTGTGAAGGGATTCAGGGAAACCGGTTTACCGGACTTGAGTCCTGAAGGTGCAAAGTACAATGCCTGCACTTTAAATGAGAGGTTTGGGATATTAGCTGTTTAGAGTGACATCTAAACTGTCGTATTTGAGCGCCTCTGCAAAGACAGTGATTATGTATGAATGATGGTGAAAGTGCTGAATGATGATGAAAGCTTTTTCATCATCATCTTTTCGGTGGGAAACGGCCGACGTGTTAAAATAAAGTGGGGAAGGGAAAAAAGAAACTTGAGAGATTAGAGAAAGATGGGGTTCAATTCTCTTAATTACTGTACCAATATATGCTGTCACCATCAGCTCCTATTAGTAGTAATAGATTCGAAAGGAAATATAGTTTCAACAGAAGGAAGAGACAAGAAAGTGGGCTAGAGCAGGAAATCCCAACAGAAGTCATGCAAACATTTAACATATAAGGTGCAAACTTTGATAGATACTGACCCTTACCTAAAACAATAAAATTTGGCAGAGAAAGAGAACATATATGAGATCACCTACATTTGTAAAACTGGTCATATACCCATAAAAGGATCAATCACATAAGAATACACCCTGCTAAATCACATAGTATACTCCTGCCTAACATAAAAAAAAATAATTCAGAGTTTGCAAGGGGCTAACACCTCTGTCCAGGCTTCCCTCCACTTCTCGTGTATGTGACTTGTCATCTGAACTGCCTCCAGAGATTATCCCCGCTATAACATTATTTGCTACATTATCCATTTTGTATATATTAAATTGAAATCACCAAGCAGCAAGATATTTGGGGATGGGGTTGGAAGATTTTCCAGACAGTAATCAATTTTTAATAGCTGTTCCTTGAATTGATGGGGAGCTGCATCCATTGGCTAAATTACAACCACAATCTTTATTCTAAAACTTTAACTACATCATTTGTGGTGTTAAGTAACACTGCAAATGAGCGATTCTTTGATATACAGGCTTCCAACCCCTTGTTCCCTGTTCTTTCTGTCGCATCTAAACAATTCGTTCCATGTTATCTATATTTTGTCAAAGTGGTTCTTTTGTGTGGATCTCTGTGATGGCTGCAAACATCGCATTTGACTCCACGAGGATTACCTAAGTCCCTGTATATTCGCAACTACCACTGAAGTCATATTGCTAGTTTGTTTGGGAGATATTTTTGTTGGCATCAGTATCTGCAGTTCTGGAATGGGGGCTATTGGCTGACTCCAATCCCACAAGGCTCGGAGGTAGTGGAGCATTTTTGTATTTTTTTTCCTTGCACAAAAAATCTCTTGCTGTGGAATGGCTGTAACTACTGTGGTTAGTTTCCCAAGGTTTGTGGGGTCACCTCTTGGCCCCTTTCCAGTGGTATGCAGCAGAGGTTGCTGAATCATTGTTTGTCGTGGACTTATGTGTAGCACGTTTCTGAGTGAAAACGTTTACAAGAGGTAAAAGGGACACACTACTTAATTAGAAGGTCGCGACATTTGTTTGGGTTGTCAAAGTTGCATGTCGCATTCGTATTCCCAGATATTCCATGCTTTCAGATACCCCAAGCATAGAATTTGCCCAGTTCTTTCAGTTGTCTAAATTCTCAATTGGTGCAGTTTCTAGAGCTAGCATTCTTCAGCAACCCTATCAGAATCACCACCATCAGTTATTTCTAGAAGTGGACCAACACTGTCCCCAGAAGCAGACTCCTGCAGTCCTGCGCTACTAAATCTGTAACGATATCTGTGGTCGAGTTCGCAGCCGAGCCTGCTATGGAGTCTGTATTAGGGTTTGTAGCTGAACCAACACTAGGGCTGGAGGATGGTGTTCTGAGTACATGTGCTTATTTCCGTGTCATCTGCTGTAATAGAGGCATATTGAGTGTCGTTATATTTTAAGGCTCAGTGAGCCCTGGAATGTGGTGAAGGCAGGTGGAGCTGTTGTACACTCCCTCTCTCCCTGCACCTGTTATGGAGACACTGTTGTTACATAGTGACCACAGCTGGTGAGAGTGAGAGCAGTATGAAGGCTTGGTAAGGATGTTATGGTGGTGTGGCGTCACATTAGCCAGTGTGGCTCACCACACCTTACCCACACACTACAAGGAACATTAAGTGTGCTGTTCGGTGAGTTACGTCAACAAGGCTCCATATTATAATCAAATAAAACTCTAAACCGACAAGAGTCATGCAGACGTGGCTGTATAGCCTCTGAGGGTTTAGAGCTCTCCCTGAATAAGAGTACTTAAA